GAAGGCCTACATACATGAGGGAAGTACAGAGGCCCTATTCTCACCAACCAATGGCCCTCCTGATGTCAAAGAGTGAGAACCTGACAAAGCTGTGTATGGTGGTCTCAACTCCCAAACCATTGTGTCTACATCTTGACCAGCACACATGGAAGTTAGTGCAGTGCAGTGAGTAACGTGCAGGTAAACAAGGTTCATGACCATGAGCTAAAAAGTATGGTGAGTAACCAGTGCTAGAATGAGATGTAGCATTAAATGACAGTACAACTGCAGATAAATACTGGTCCCATTCGCCATCACTATGAAATAAAACTTCAAAAGTCCTATTGAATCATTCTACCATGCCATTACCATGAGGATGGTAAGGCGTAGTTCTCTTCTTTAGTCTCTTGCAGATGTCCTGCAATATCTCTGACTCATACTGGCGGCCCTGATCAGAGAAAAATTCCTCTGGAACACCATGTTCAGGTATGTACTGTTCACACAGCAACTGTCCTACTGTACTGGCTCTTTGGTCTACCATAAGATATGCATTGACATATTTGGTAAAATGATCTTGTTCTACCAGCACATACCTATTTCATCTGGACGTGACTGGCAATTCAGTGATATCAGTGACTGGCAATTCAGCGATACACACAAACTGAAAAGGTATCATAGCACTAATAGACTGGAGAGGTGCCCTACGCTGAGGAACAGGCTTTTTCCGAGACCTACAAGCTTCACATGACTCACAATACTGTTCAATGGCAGTTCTCATTCCTGGCCAAAAGCACAAACTCTGAGCTTTTTTGAGTGTGCGTTCAGCACTGTAGTGTCCAGCACAGGGATCAAGTAAAGTAAAATCGTCGTAGAAGAAACTACAGGGATTTGAGACATGGCATCCGCATTAGAATGTCTCTTGCAATCTTTGTGAACGATCACCCAATCGTACAGATCAAGCTCCATAGCACACTAACCTGTACGTCCTGTGGGATCAACATCAAAGTTCAATTTCCTCAGCCCAACGAAAGGTTTGTGATCTGTGACAATTGTAAAAGGGCAGTAGTGACTAAAATGCCTAAATGACCAAATTATTTCCCACAGTTCTTTGTCATAGGTGGACTATTTTCATTCGGTAGAAGTAAGTATGTGACTAGCATATGCAACAACCCGCTCTTTGCCATTTAGAATTTGAGACAGGACAGCACCAATAGCTGTGCCAATAGATGCATCTTTACTCAGTGTAAATGGCTGGTCAAAGTTAGGGAATGCCATGGATCAGAGCGTCTTTCAGTTACTGAAAGGCTGCTGAACACCCATCGGTCCATTAAAAATGGACATCTTTGTGGGTTAATCTGTTTAAGGGTTGAGCTTTAAAGGCATAGTCTCATACAAATCGCTCAAACTACACAAGCCCAAAAATGCTCATACCTCAGTAGCAGATTTAGGAGTCGGCCAATCTTTTACTTTTTGACTATGAGCTGGGTCAAGAGCCAACCCATCCCTCGAGACAACATGAGCCATGTACTTTACAGATGCCTTGCAAAACTGGCATTCTGTAGGGTTAAGCTAGAGACCTGCTTCCCTAAACCTGGTCAAAATGTCTCTGAGGTTTTGCATGTGATCCTCAAAATCATTCCACATACAAATGATGTTGTTTAAATAAATGGCACACTTTGTCCAATGCAAACCTTTAAGGACTAATTCTATAAGTCTTTCAAATGTTGGTGGACTATTCTTAAGGCCCATAGGCATCAACTTAAAGTGATACAGTCTGCCTCCAGCGGTAAAGGCAGTCTTTGTCCTGATATCTGGATCTAGTTCTACTTGCCAATAACCCAAAGACATGTCCATGGTAGAAAAATACTGAGGCCCTGAAAAAAGCATCCAGATTATCGTCCACTGGAGGTAACGGGTGTGCATCAGTAACAGTTATGGAATTCAGTTTGCGATAGTCAATGCAAAATCTAAACGTATTGTCTTTCTTCCTCACCATCACTACTGGACTTAACCAAGGACTATCACTTGTCTTCTAATATGTCTTGTGCATTGAGTATTTCTACCTGATGGTGAATTTCTGCCTTGAGAGCAGTGTTGGCAGAACAGTTGACTTGGGCATTGATGCTTGACTGGAACCAAAAACATTTTGAATGTTTAAATTATTCACACTTTTGTCAATTATCACAAAACCATCTTGATCACTCTCAGAAATTGAATGAAAAGTACCAATTGGAGTGACACAGTGCAGGGAAATGTCATCTGCAGAAGGATTAACCACCTTCAAATAAATTAAGCCCTTCTTCACAGTCCATGCAAATCCTCTGTTTGAGTCTTCACAATGGTGTAGCCATTTGGTTGCAAACCTGCATGGTGCAACACAAATTTTGCAGAGATTACAGCCTCTGATAGAGCAGGAACAACCATTGTAAGTTTTCCCAGAGTGACATTAGCTGACAAAGTACACACTGTCTAAAGTGTAACCAGAAATAGATGCCAGAGGTATGAACTGTTTCACCAAGGGTCTTTGACGTAAAGTGGGAGTAGACATCTTGAGATCTTCACTTATATGAGAACCATCAGCACCAGTATCAACAAATGCATGAACTACTGGGTCTTCAATTACAAGTGACACATTTTTGTGTCACGACCTGAACAGTGTCTGAAGTCACATGATGTTCAACTATGTTATCAATGAGCCTGGTGTCAGTTGAAGTTGGCAGTTGGCCCTCATTGTCAACTACCGGTAGTTTCCCTGTCGCCAATGAACATGTGAAGGTGACCGGAGATGCACGTGTCCAGGACTTGGAGACTGATAACTGAGTAGCTGTCACCCTGACCATGGTCAGAACGAGAAGAAAGATCCAGAGAGTCATGAGCTGTGTGCTTCATAATAGTACTTTTTGCCACTAGTGTCTCTGTATGAAGGTTTGCTATGTTCATAGAAAGAGTCAAAGTCAGTATGTGAATGCCTGCCTTTCCTGCAATGTTCAGATGTGCACCCTCGTGAATCCTCTGGGGTAAGGCTGCACAGTTGACGATCTGGTAAAGAAGTCTCTGTTGGTATACCTCTGTCAGTATACAGCTGTCTGCTGACCTTGAGCTGAAGTTGATCTACTCTCTCTGTCGAACTTTCCAGGGTCCGTTGAAATTTTGCGAAGTTCTCTCATGTAGCTGGGTGAACCGCAAGGAGTACTGTAGATATCGTAGAACTGGGAGAGGTAGGTACAGACTGTGGAAGAACGTTGATGGTGGATCCAGTAAAGGCTCCTGCTGTTGAAGAAGTGTTTACACCTTGTTCATGTATAAGAAGATATAGATAAGGTTCAATTCCAGCAGTGAAACGCCTGAATGTTTCTCTGTTCTTTGCATTACCTTTATAAGTGGGAAAAACTTCATCCACCAAATGACTAATTTCTGCCACAAAAACGTGGAGAGCCTCGCCAAGCAGGCGTGTGCATACTTTAACGTAACTTTGAAATTTGGATAGATAAACTTGTTTGCCAAAAACCTCTTTCATTTTGTCTTTCACTTGGTTGTAGTCCTTCTTGATGTCACTCAGCAAACTGTCCCAGTAGCTACAAGCAGTACCACCCAGGCAAGTTGGCAAAAATTTAGCTAATCTGGCGTTATCAAAATCCACGCTATCTTCCACAGTCACTTCAAATTGTCTGTACCAGTAGAGAAAATCTTCTTTCCCATCCCCCAAAAAGATGGGTGGAAAATGTCCATTAAAGCGCTGCACGGCAAGTGAACTACTCGTGCCAGAGAAATCACATGCTGAATCCACTTCACTCATGTTACAAAACAGTTCAGTTCTAGCTCTGTATATCTCACAATAAAAAAAATATCCCGAAAAGTTCAATAAATCAAACTAGGATTATCATTCTAGTCATCTGTTTTAAAAGCACGCTCAATATATCTCTGTAATCTGATGCTGCTGTGAAATACTCATGAACAAATTTGTGTTGAAACACAAAGCAAAGTTGACGTCCTGGATAACAGAAGGCTGAAATCTTGAGGTGTCCATCACTGTGATGCCAAATCCATCGCATTTAGTACCCGTTGAAGAGAAAGTTCACTTATGCGCCATGTGTGTCATCCAAACCCACTGCCACCAGAAATGTAAGAGGGGCTTTGAACCATAATAGGAATCTCCAGTCTCTTGTGAATGGGTTCCCGAGAATAATGCAGGCATACACAGAGACATGAAGCTTTATTGACTTTTATTTGTCAGCGCTCATACGGTTAGGAACATCATGCATTGCAGCTTATTTCACACACCCTCCACTTCGCACGCTTGACCTGCGCATACAAAACCTACGCATACATTAGCGCACCAATTCCATCTGAACAATAACCTTATCATAATAGCTGTAGTGCGAACTCCACTATTCTTATAGAATTAGAACAGTTATTAAAGTTATAGCTATTGTCCTTGTCTCCTATCTGTGAGCATGCGCCTTTTTGTGCTGCCATGCCTCGAGTAGCGTCTACTCTTTACCTAACACAGAGAGCAGACAAGATGACAGAAACAGTGTGATCGACTAAAATGTTGGAGTCATTCATTTTTATGCTAGTAAACATGGATTTAAACACAATGTACATTATACTGCATAACCAAAACTTATTGAGATCATGTCTGTATATTGTGCGATAACGAGTAATTATCGTGAAAGGCCTACAGGATATTTTCAATGGTTGCAGTACTATGTAGAACTAAACCTTAAAGAGAATATGTTCAGTTTCAATTTCATCAGTTTCAAGACCTCCTGGTTTTAAGTGTATTGATTTTTGGGTAATATTCAAAGCCTCTACCTGGGACTGAGTATTGAACCTCTACATACATGTAGGCTACCAGACTCTTTCTAGCTTGAGCATGGCTATTAGCCTGGACAATAAAGACAACTGGCATTTCTGTTTAATCATTTTCTTCAGAACAGGTTTCTTATACTCAGAATTCATTATTTTATTTGTGATTTTGTACACGTTTACCTGTATGTCATGTTGCTTTTCATCTACAGGTTAAATCCACAATCTCCTGGAGAAGTTCAGTGCTGGAAACACAAACAGCCATAATGAACAATGAGCAGTATCCTTCTCTACCGCTCAAAGAAAAGCAAATTAACATCATCAGCATCAAAGCCATAGAAGACATTGGGCATGATCTTCAAGATTCTATTGTAAGTTTATGTTTTACCCAAGTTGTTGACTGTTTAACTAAAATGTTCAGATTGATGGCAGTATGCAAGACAACACACTGTGGCACTTGTCTCATAAAATGTCACTCTGAAAAGAGATGGCATTATATGGATCTTATATACAGTACCATATAAGAAACCCAGAGGTAAAAACAACAAATGATCAGAATTCTAAATGTACCCTTTACACAGACTAAGCTGACTTCTTACCAAAAGCGAAGTGTGAGAGTGAGGGGCTCGAGCGAGGGCATCAAGCGAGGGCATCTTGGAGGCTTTGATGTATGGCTTTATAGTTGAGTCTAATATTAGCTCCTGGCTCCTCTCACTCCTCTCAAGTAACATCAGGGATCAGTTTGTGACTTGAGGCTTACTTCATTCTGAAAGACAGCAAGAACAGACAGACAGAAAACAGAGTTCAAGATTAAGAGAGAGTGAGAACAGGTTGGAGGCAGGTTTCTTACTGTGACTGGGAGATGGATTTACCCGAGAATGAAAGTGGTGGGTCTCAACCTTCAACTGCCAAACAAACACACTTCTTAAGGGATGTGATCTTTCATGGAAAACTGCAGGTGAGTGTGGCATGTATCAATTAATATTTATGAAGTTTTAAGACTTTAATACCATATTTTTAGCAATGTATGTGCAATATCTGCTATTAATGATGACTATTATTTATTGACAGTTTGATAAATGTACATAAGTTATATATATAGCAGTAATTAAAGTACATTAGCACATGCTAGATCTGTATGTAATGCTTTTTGCTCCTAAGATATAAGCACATGTCCCCATAAGATGAAGGGGCATGCCAGAGGAAATGTTATACCCCATAACACATTCGGCAGTTGCTGGATCAGTTGCAGTCGCTCTACAAAAACAGCTGACCTAAATGAATAAGGACTTCAAAAAAATATTTTCTAAGATTACTGTTGCATAGTTTGTTTGTGCTGAAGTCCAGACAGCATTTTATAGGGAACACATCACATACAGTTATCTCAACAGTGCATCATTATGTACACATATGTACGCCACAGAAATATGCTTACTGTACCTACACTTGCATAATGTCAGTAATATTGTCGATATTAAATGTAACTGTCATTTTACGAGTTGGTTAGATTGTGGTTTGCATAGATGTAATAAGAACCCATAGCTGTTACCATAGTTCACACTCTCAAGTTCAAGGTTACTCATGTTGAGCATTATTTAACGGTGTATTAGCAGCTGTATGTCAAACATCACACAGATCCGTCACCCGTAAGACTGCAGTGTTATGGGATATCTCAGGCCCATAGGTGCAAAACATTTGCAAAACATAATATATCTCCAGCAGTTTGTCTCTCCAAAACAAAAATAGTGTGGCAGTACTGCCAAACATGGACATTTCATGTTGTCCTGTTGGAGAAATAATTATGCCTTGCTACAACAGGGTTTCATAAAAGTTTATATTAAACTACACAAAGATGAATGAATATGCGCCTAAGTTAGTTGTTAATCGGAAGTTACCCAGTTCTCTTGAACCTCACATTGCAATGAGCTCTCGGTTAGTTTCTTATCACACGCTCACTCTATTTTATTACCAATTTATTTGTTTGTTTGTGTAAAATATATTAGTAGTTAATTACATGTTAGACACATCAGATTTAATACAGACTGCTGAGTGTCTTTTAAAGGCAATTTCCATTGGTTATTGTGTACATTTTCAATAACCAAAATGCAATGTCACTCTTATTGTGTCCCTAATGATTAACTGGAAAATAAGATCTGCTTTGCACATAATGGAATTATATGTGATCTGAGATTCTTGTTAATTTACTAACATTATACAGTACATGCTTCCCAGCAATGCTTATGGGACTGCTTATTTCTTACACACTAGAAAGATTAAATGCAACTATCATACTATATCAGCTAATAAAATGTCGCCAGTACTGTATCAAAAACGTAAACTTTTGCATCACAATTATCACGTGATTGTTCAGTATGCATTTGTCAGTGTCCTTCTGTTTGTGTGTCAGCCAGTTTGCTGTAATGATAAAGATCCTGTCCAGTCCATTTAGTTTGAACATTTAGTTAGAATTTAGTTAGTTCAGGATTTAAAACTGTACAATACTACAAAACATTCAAGCAAGCAACCAACATGAGTATTTTCTGCACGTTAAAGAGGACATTTTAAATCTTTTATTTATTTATGCATAGCAATTGAAAGATTACTATAATAAACATAACAAAAGATCAGTATACACTACCAGTCACAGGTTTGGACACATCTACTCATTCTTTATTAATACTGCTTTCCACATTTTAGAATAATGATAAATAACTCAAATTTACGTATGAGAATGATGTATTGACTTTTTGATGTATTACTTTCACATGGCCAGCTTTTTAATCAATATCATAAGCCACAATTTATATTTATTTGTCTGTAAACTAATTACAAGCACTTCAGCAGAAGCCTTAAGATCAAAACGTTTTTAAAGTCATGAGAAACATAAATTCCATTAAGTGTAGACTGACAACGTAGACTATTCACAGATAATTGTTGATATTAATGCTTATCATAATATAACCACGGCTAATTAAAAACTATATGAATGGAGTTTACTTGCTCAGCTCATTATTTTATAGATGACTTGGTACAATGAGGTCTAACAAACAATCACACTCATTCTTAAAACTGATGAGTCCTATGTTGAATTGAGATGCTGCCCCATCTTGACCTTTCACTGGACACTGGCCCAGCAGTGTCACACACATACACACACACACACACACACACACAGCTTGGCTCATGTTTTCTCCTCCCCTCTCCTGTCAGCTCCTGAAGTCTCTCGCTCCCGAGGAGAACACAAAATGCCAGCAGGGTCTGTACTTCCAGGACGGCAAGAGGCGGGTGGACTACGTCCTTACTTACCACATCAAAAAGACAAGCAGCTCCCGACGCCACACATCACGTCTCAGAGACAACGCCTTCACCCGCACCCTGCGGCGGGGTCGAGAGCCGCCTCCGCCTGCACCCAAAGATGACGCTGAAGTGGGCTCGCCTCACCACAGCATGGACCACCACGATGATGACAAATGTTTACGGCGTGAGGAGTTCGAGAGTAACCTGATGGAGATGGGCCTGGAGCTGGAGCGAGATGAGGAGGTACGTGTGTTTTTCATCATGATGGATGGATGGATGGAGCCTGCATTCCTGCTCCACAAGGCTTTTGTTTGCTGGAGGTTTGTTTTGTCTTTTGGCTGAGCTCAGCTGTTTTACTTCAACACTCACCATGAAGGGTCACAAAAGATACATTGTCGTGTCACACTGCACTGGTTATGACATGAGATGCTCAGAGCTCAAAACTCCTGTTTGGAACTGTCACATTGAGAGACTTCACTTACGGTCGCTTGTTCATGGTGTTTGCTGTTTCATATTCTAAAATGGATAGATGTGGTCCTGAGTGCTGATTGGTCGCTATAGTATTCCAGCCATGGTAAAATATTACTCAATATAAGCCTCCTGGCACAAGCAAATGTGCTGTTGCACTGAATATCATCACGGCTGTGATTGAGCCGCAGACACAAGAATGAAGGTGATCAATGATATCCAGTACTACAGAATGATTGTTGATGACTTTAATTTTTTATACAGCAGTTCTGTAAACAAGTCATTGACTACAAGTCATTGGCTTCCATGGCTGCAGTACACTGTATTTTCCACCAATTGGCAACCTGTGGTGTCGAAATGCTATTGGATAAATTGGCTGTAGGCGGAGTCAAGCAGACCAAAACAAAAACAGACATTCCAACACAGAACACACATTTCAAAATAGAATAACTGGCTGTAGCGTTGTTTGTCAGAGAAACATATTTATGCACTTGGTATGTTTTCTAAATATCTGCAAACATGTATGCATTTTTATGCTTTAGTACAGTCAAAAAATATATATATACAGATAAAAATACTATAGCACCTTTACAGTGCTCCATTGTTGAAATGTGCACTTGTAGTGTACTTCAAATCTTAAAAGTATATTTTAAAAAACTGTACTTGCATATATTAAAGGAATAGTTCACCCAAAATTAAAAATTTGCTGAAAATGTACTCCACGGTTTAAAATTAAAACGTTAATTAATGGACTGGAGTCATGTGGATTATTGTGATGTTTGGACTCTCATTCTGACGGCACCCATTCACTGCAGAGGATCCATTGATGAGCAAGTGATGCAATGCTACATTTCTCCAAATCTGTTCCCATGAAGAAACAAACTCATCTATATGTTGGATGGCCTGAGGATGAGTACATTTTCAGCAAATGTTCATTTTGGGGCAAAAATTCTTTAAATGAAATAAAAGACCAATTAAGTGTACTTAATGAGAAAATATGTTTCATGTTTCCCAACACATTTAAGTACTTTATAGTAATGTCAAATTAAAAAGCTTTACTGAAATACATATTAAACCATTATTTTTCAATTATGTTCTGCTGTGCTTCCAAGAAGTACTTATTTTGATGTACTGATTAACTTACTAAAGCTCACATAAAGTACTTGATTATAATTGTAGAAAACTGTAGTGTGTTATTTGATATTACACATAAAGTTATAATGTGTTTAAATGTACTAAATTGGAACTTTATTAAGAATTTTTATTTACAAATATATGGGACCAAACTGTAAGCAAAAGCCCAGATAGTAAGATCAGATTTCCAGATATCGGACCACCACTGCAGGCTCACCGTCTGACCATCATATATTAAACTTACCTGATCATTGAACTGGATTAAATTTTATTTAACACAGCCTAATTCAATTTGGTTTCATATACCAAAGGCTATATTTAAAAGAGTTGGTGGGTTAGAATTTTTGTTGAAATGCGACTGAGATTTCTAAATTGCCTGTTAAGCTTTCAAATTTCCACAAACAGATATTGCAATACTGGAAAATGATATTTACCCACAACTTTACACCACATGAAGCCACCTTGTGGAATAATAGAATTATTACAATAAATAGGTGGACGCTATTTAAACAAGAATGATTCGAGAAAAAAGTTATTTATGTTGTCAATTTGATATATGAAGATGATCAGTTAATTCAGTATAATGCATTCATGGAGAAATGTGTAATAAAATGTTCCTTTAGAGAATATAATACTGTGTGTAGAGCCATCCCTGTTGCACTAAAACAATTAATACAAAATACTCTAACATATTCTGATTTAAGACAGAACTATTTAGATCAGGGTAAGAATCACTATTCCCTAAATCATTAAAATGTGGAGAACAAAGATATCTCCATAACGAATTTCTCATATTTGTCATAACATCATTATATTCTATGTGTTTAGTGTTTAATGAATTTGCAGACAATGTATTTATCTGTAACTCTCATATAACTGTATTTCCACTGTCTTAGAGCAGAGTGCTATTGAATGTGTATAGCTGATATGAAGTGGGTCAGAACTAAAATCAGAACTGAAAACAAACTCTGGATGAAAAAAGAAACTCCCAATAAATGTCCAAACAGCGATTCTATCACAGCATTTATTGTGTTATATCTTGTGCATCATTTACATTTAGCATTTGATGTTGATTTGAAAGGAAACTTTATAATTGTTACTTATTATTGGCATCATTGTACATATTGAGAATTCATTGCACTGATTTTAAATTCAGTTAAGGTATCTGACATAATATGACATGACATAGATTTTTTTTATATGCAGTGTCTTAAGAGCCATATAGGCTATAATATGTTGTTTTTAGATAAATCGCTCAGAGGGGTTTGACCAGTTAGACAGACAGACTACTAGGTTATTTATTTGTATAAATCATCCAAGCACCCCAATCCCAGCCATTTCTAGTATACATTTGATTAATATTGCTAAATATTATTGAATTGTAACGAAATTAAACATCCATCTTTGATTGTCAAAAGAATTCCAGGTGCAGTTCCCTCTCAGCCAATTGGATTTCACCTAGCATTTTAATCGGTCAGTCCTGGAAGTCTGATTGGGTGATAACTTTTGACAACGTTTAGTCCAGTTGTGAAAATAATTTAATAATTCAATTAAGCACATGCGCACGCTTTAAAGGTGGGGTAAGTGATTTCTGGTAGCCAATGTTGATATTTCAAATCACCAAAACAAACATGCCCCTACCCCAAAAGGGTCTCGCCCCTATTTTAATAGCTCTGCCCCACACTGTAAAAAAAATCCGTAAAATTTACGGTAGAAAACCGGCAGCTGTGGTTGCCGGAATTTTATGTTACACCGTGTCTACACCGGATGCGAGCGGCGCGACAAATTACTATAGAACTCCTTATCACGTATTGACACAAATTTCAAATGATTTTCAACAGTCACTTTGTCGCGTCCAGTGTAGACAGACTTTAGCTGTTGCGGCACAGACACGGCGTTACTCACCTACCGAGAAGAAACAAAGCAATCTCTGCGTCCGATCGCAGGCCTTCCGCTCCTTGAGTTCTCTCCAGCGCTGGAAAGCTGATCCGATATTTACACAGGTCCTACTTCTTGCCTTATCGTAAGCCTTCTTTTGTTCTGCAGACGTTTTCCTCTTTTGTTTTTTTATCCGCCATCTCTATCTTTCTGTCGCTCGGTTTGGCTAATGTCTGTCCTGTGCACTGAGCGCTCTCTCCTCCGCATCATGAGTAGACACGCCCCTTACTGCTGATTGGCTACAAGTTTGTTTTGGTACTTGGCCCGACTCAGTTTTCTAAAGTGTTTTTGAAAAAATACATACCCCACCTTTAAGTGAGAGGAGAGATTCGCAATTGCAGTGGAACACGTTTTTAGTGCGCGCACACCCTCTGGGCGAGAGCAGCGTGTATCTGAAAGCACGCGTCCGGTTTAATGCGAGAGCAAAGGAAATCCGCGTGCGAGCGGAAAGATTCGCACTTGCGCATCATATTAATGTACTTTCGCGCTACAACAGTGCGCTCTCGACATTTGTCAGTAAAATAACGCCATAATTTTCCCTTATCAAAAGTGTAGGGGTCGATTGCTGTCTTTTCAAAACTGCGGGGGTCATGACCCCCCTGTCCCCTGTGTTAACGGCGCACCTGGCTGTGACAACATCGCACAACTGTTGCATTTAAAGTCATCACCCCCACAAACATTAGTTATGTGTTTTCTTCTCTGGCTTTCAGACTGTGATAAATGTGGTGTATTTGCATATGTGTTCAATAAATGAGATTTACATGTGTGCACCTGTTCTTCTCTGTGAACATTTTTAATTTTATGAACATGTATGAAGACATATAAAACCATGTATAGTTCTGGTCATGTGATTATGTCATTAAATGCCTTGTAGAATTTCATGAATTTCATAATTAGCAAAAGTAATGATGATCACAGCTGTTGAGCTGTTTGTTTTTGGCTGTAAGACTCACCCTGAAATGGGATCCCCTGTCCTGGAGTCTATGTAAGGCCCATGCGTCAGGTCACATGTGGTCTGGTGCGTAGTGCATATGCTGTGAGGTGACCCTTGTGTGTAGGCGACCCAGCCTGGCTTGGGTCATTTCCTGATTCCATTACTCCTGCTTCTCCCTTTCACTTCTTGACATTTCTTCACTGCAGTGTCATCTAAATATATGTAAAGGCTGGAACCCTATTGTGTTTGTACTGATTTTCTTATTCTTCTTAATTAGTTATCTACCGTAAATATAGAGACCCCAAACTCGGCAGGATGGTCCCAAGCGTGCAGAGCTACTCAGGCACATAGGTGCAAATCCGTGTGACATTCATTGGTCATGCTATTTGCGTTTTGGTCCATAACTGTGAAACCATTAGGGCTAGCATTAAAATTAGGCTCTACGTGAATATGTTTCTGTTATTATTTAAAAAAATAAAATTAATGAATTAATTAATGTTCTTCAAGTAAATAGAGAAGACACCATAACACAGGGGTGTCCAATCCTGCTCTCTGGGAGGTCAACGTCCTGCAGATTTTAGCTAGAACCAGCACTAACACACTTGCCTGGAAGTTTCTAGTGAGTCAGAAGACCTTGATTAGCTGGTTCTATTGTACGGAACGTGAAAATAGAGACACCAGCCACCATAGTCCAAGGTATAAAGGGAGCCAGAGCGCCTGACATCTTGGCAAATTTAAAAGTGCTGGCTAATGCTAAACGTAAATTTGG